CCATTTTTGGTAACAAAAATGTTTTTAGAACAGACAGAACATGTTGTGTATTTAAACATATTTTGTATTTATCTGAAATGTCTTTATATTGATATAAGGATGAAATTATGGTAATATTAAATTATAAGGTACTATTGTTGATTATTAAGTGTTTTCTTGACAGCATCTTATTTTATTTCATATTCATTTATAGGTTCTTTCAAGAACCTGATTTCATAATGAAACATAGTCAATATTCAATGTGGGATATGAGTACAATGTTAATATTTTCTGTATTTATAAAATACTATTGTTGTTGATTATTAACTGTTTTCTTGGCAACATCATATTTTATTACATATTCATTTAAAGGTTATTTCAAGAAACTGAAATATCAATGATAATTTCATTGCATGTTTTTATGTTGAAAGGTTCTAGATATCTTATCTTGTTGCACGTTACAAAAGTTGTCTAAGCTTCAAATGGGAACTGTTGAAAAATTTGGTACCACCAGTTTTAATATGGAACAATATTTAAATTTATTTTATCAATTAATTTCATTTTCAAGTTTTCCTTGGCGTAATATTTATCTATTATTTTTAAATTTCCCATTTTCAAATTTCCAGTCATGGATATTAGATTTTTTTTTTAAAACACTGAAGATAGTGAAAATCATACCAAAAAGCAGAAAAGTATAGTATAATAATTTAATAAAATCTTAATATTAAAATATTTTTAGCAAAAAACCCCTCCCATAATAGCAAATAATGAAAGAATTGTTGAAAGAATAATTGAGAGTCAGGATATAGAGCCATCTAAAGGTTAGTTATTCTAAAAATATATTGGGCAGTTTTATAATAACTTAGACTATTTAATAAATAATAGTTTTCGATATTTAATTTAGTAAAAAATGAGATTGCAACAATGTGCAGCAATAATTTTTTTAAAAATAATTTTAATTTACATCTCAATATTTAGACATAAACTTAAAACTAAAATCTTTACAAAACTAGAGTACAATTATCATCCATATGATATAGCCAAATTTTTCAGTTAAAGATAATATTAGCCTAGAAGAAAGACATATACTTCTTAAAAAAATATATATTAAAGATACCTATGATAAAAATTTCATTTAATAATAGATTTATATTCCACCCCTCAATTTTCAATATCCCCAAACTTTATGTGCTAATCGAATTTCAAAATAGCTATTTTACTAGATGGTTATGGCTAGCATATTCCATCCGAGACAGTGGAGCGTATTGCAAAATATATGTCCTGTATGTACCACGATATGCTGGCAGAAATTTAGTTACGCTTAACACTCTTGTTAAGACTCCTTTCAACAAATACAAAGATTCGGGGGAAATTTTTGACAATCATCAGAAAACAAATTATCACAAAAGCTGTGAACTGATGATTTCGTCAAAAGAATTAATTCAAAAGGGGGATATGATTCTCATTTCATCTCTTATTGATAAAAACAGGGTTAAAATCGCAAAAGAAAATAGATGTAAGATAAAACTAACTATTGAGGCTATTTTATATTGTGGCTTGCAAGGCCTAGCCTACCTGACCACAAGGATTCAGGAAGCTTAAATTTTAATAATAATGATAACGAAGCTAATTTTCGTGGACTTTTAAAATTTAAAGCATTAGGAGATCCTGTATTAATGGAGAGCCTCATTAGTGGCAATAAAAATGCTACTTATCTTAGCCCTAGGATACAAAATGAGATAATTGATATTTGCAACAATATCATTTTAGAAAAATTGATTGCTGAAATCAATTTTGCCCCATGCTTCTCAATTTTGGCAGATGAGACCACGGACATTGCTCGCATTGAGCAGATGCCATTGTGTGCGCGATTTGTAAATACTCGTAATAACATTATCAAGGAAATGTTTCTACAATTTATTCCTGTTTTAAGCATGACTGGGTCTGCTTTAGCTGATGTAATATTTGAGAATCTTAAAAAATTAAAAGTAATAATTAATCTTATTATAAAATTATTTTCAAAAATATAGCTAAATATAAATATGATACGTGGGCAAGGGTATGATGGAGCACGTACAATGAGTGGACAATTCAATGGGCTTCAGGCATTTATTAAAAAAAAATGCCCAACAGCTATATATGTCCACTGTGCTGCCCATTCACTCAACTTAGCATAATCGGATTCATGTTCTATACCATTGATATCAAATTGCTTAGGTATAATTTTAATTATTTAAATTAAATTTTTAATATTTATATCAGGTAAAATATCTAGCATCTATGAGTTGTTTAGATACCCCAAGCGTCGAAATATTTTGAACAGAATTATATCTGGGAGAAAAAAAATGCAAAAAACTTGTCCAACAAGATGAAGTCTTCTACATCAAGCAGTAACAGCTTTTATGGAGTTAGAAAAGCCGATTATTAATGCTCTTACAGAAATATCACAATGGTCTGAAAGAGATATTTCTTCAGAAGCAAGCAAGTTACTGGATTCAATACACCAAATTTTTTTTTCGCATTAGAATATATTAATAAATTATTTAATTATACAATTATTTTATGTAATACTTTTCAAAAACCTGATATTGATTTGATTGAGTTGATGAGAATAGCAGAGACAATTTTATTAGAACTCAAGGAAATTAGAGCTACTGCTGATGAGGAATTTCATATTTTATATGTTATTGTTGAATCAAAAGCAGGGCTATACGAATTCAATATTTGTTTACCTCGACTTGCAGCAAGGCAAGCTTATCGTCCAAATATTAATATAAGGTCAATAGAAGAATATTATAAAATAAATGTCTTTATACCTCTTTTGGATACATTTATAACCCAAGTAAATGAACGGTTTTTAATTCATCAAGCTGCACTTAGCAATCTGCAGATATTACTTCCGCAAAAGCCCTCTGAACCTTTTTCAGATGGTGATAGAAAAAAAAATATTTGGCAGATTTTTATCATGAAGACGTTAATATATCTCATGATGCTTTATTAGCTGAATGCCAACTATGGTATAAAAGATTAACTATGGTTGATATAGTCCCAACAAATGCTATGGATACTTTGCATCATTTCAAACATCTTTTAGATTATTTTCCCAATATATTGAAATTATTATATATATTAGCAACTCTTCCCATTAGTACTGCAACTAATGAGAGAACATTCTTTTCTTTAAGAAGATTAAAAACGTACACAAGAAGTACAACTTCTGAAAGTAGATTGAATGGTCTGGCCCTTTTGAATATTCATAGGCATTTGACACCAAGCACGGATGAGATAATTGAAAAATTAGCTCAATCCCAACGAAGATTGGATTTTACATTATAAAAATATAATGTTTCTATAATATTTTTTGTGCAATCATTTTTGAATGTCTTATATATTTTTCTTTTACATAAAAAATATAATTATTCATATTTCCAACATTTAAATTTTTTATACTTTATATATAAATTTTAAAGGCTCAAAAAATTTAAATTTCTATTATAGGTTATTTATTTAATAGTCATTCATATCCTGGTTATATTCACTTAATATTTTATAATTCAGATTTATTTAAAGTATTTATATGCGGCCGGTTATATCTTTTAATATTTTTTAATTCAAATTTATTTTTATATACCGGTTTATATATTTAATTTTTTATAATTCATATTAATTTAAATTTGTTTAGAAATAGTTATTAGTCCTAATAAATTTATGCTTGATATTTTTAAATAATAATAATTTTATTTTAAAAAATTTTATTTATCCCCCCCCCCCCCTCCCACATCAAATTCCTGCGTACGTGCCTGATTGTAGTGCTTCCATAGTTTTGCTAGCCAGTATGACTTCAAAATATAATAGTTATTAGTCCTAATAAATTTATGCTTAATATTTTTAAATAACAATAATTTTATTTAAAAAAATTATATTTATCCCCCCCCCCCTCCCCCACATCAAATTCCTGCGTACGCGCCTGATTGTAGTGCTTCCATAGTTTTGCTAGCCAGTATGACTTCAAAATATTTATTTAGTGTTTAACTATTTTTTCATATTGCGATTTCCAAATTAATATCAAAAATTACTAATTAATCACTAAATAATGGCGAAAACCTGATGTTAAATACTACTATAGTTTTTATTTTGGAAAGTCGCCATTTCTTGTTTATTTTTGTTTTTTTCTTTAATAAATTATTTATTTTAATAGGGGCTACTAAACTGATTGAAGAACTAACCTCTACTAACGAAGCACTTAAAAATGATATAAGTCTCATCGATACTACTTCCAATAGTTCGGCCAACTTCACCCCTATATCGTGACGTCATAATTTCTATTTATCTTATAACTTTGTTTTATAAGGTAGTTTACTAAATTAATAACGGAATTTAAATATTTTAATTAAGCACTAAATATTGATGAAAAACTAAATGTTTCTGCTTTTATGGTTTTTATTTTGGCATGTCGCCATTATTTGATTTTTATTTTTTCGCAAACTTTTTATTCTTAATTTCGGCTATAAATATGATTGAAACTAAAGAATGATATATGTTTCATCATTAGTGCCTTCAATCGACTTTTACGCTTGAAGTTGGCCAAAGTTTTTGTTTTTGCTTGTAACATTTTTTCCTTAACTTCGGCTACTCAACAGTTTGAAGTCCTAAAAAATGGCATATGATTTATCATTAGTGCTTCCAATCGTTAGGCCAACTTCACGGAACTCTTTTTATATCTTCCATTTTCGCAAATAAATAATTGATCAGGAAAATATTTTTTCATTTACTGCTCATATTTTCATTTGAAACGATTTGCAAAATATAGCCAAAATTATTCAAAACAACGAAATTTTGAAAATTCCGGGCCGAACCGAAAAATATCTCCAGGTTGCCAAAAAATTTCGAACAGGACTTGAAAATCAAAATTTTTAGGCCGAATCTAACATTTTGAACTCTTCAATAAATATTCAAATTGCTTTTAATGACTATAAATGGAGTTTGTTTTAAAAAAAAATTCAAATGATTTATCAATTTAGATATGTTTATCCATCATCAGAAATATAACTTGGAGACTTGATGATTTTACAATTAAAGTATTGACATCTAATAAGTATTTGGAATTCGTTCCAATTCTGTTCCAAGTTATTAAAGATCTTGCACATTGTATTGAAAAGGAAAATGTAAATAATAAATTTATTATTCTATTTTAAAAAATTCTTTTAGTCAATTCTAGGTGACACTAATATGGAAACCATGAAGAAAAATAAAGAAATATTCATAATTAGCCTAAACGCCATGTGGAATTTGACAAATCAGACTTTCATTTATAGGAAAATACTTTGTTCATCAAATGCTGTTCTCTTTTTTCGAGATCTTACCATTTCGTCTAATATGCCTCAAATTGTTACAGAAATTTGTGGAGGAATTTTTAAACATCTAATTTTCGCCATGGTTTTTGATGAGAAATGTGCTCAAGATTATTTAAATATTAATAACGATTCTCTGTTTTCGCAAAATACTATATCCGCTTTAGTTACTCATCTTCGATCATCAAGCTTAAATATAGTTTCCAATGCGTGCGCCATTATCTGCTCAATGTCTCAAATTTTGCCAAATCGAGATATTGATCATTTTAAAAGTGTTCTCAAATTGAATGGAGCTCTTACAATGTTTAATAAATTATTACGATCCAAACACAAGACTATATCTACTTATTCATGGAATATTATATTGAATTTATATTCAAATATTTTGACGGACAAATTAGAATTTCTCGACGAAAATATAAGCAACAAATCGAATGAAGAGGTATTATGGATATTTAACTTTATTATTTAATATTTAATGTTAAATAATTATAATTTATATATAAAGATATACTTATGCAATACCAACCTTAAACCATCGATCTTAAATCAAACTATAGAACGTATTTTTGATGGTTCTCTTTGTGGCCTATTTAACAGTTCTAAAGGAAATAACAACTATCAGGATTTTATGGATGTTAAGGGTAGATTTTATGATCAAGAAAATAATGTAGAAAAAATGTATGAAGATGAAAATTTGAAATATCTTCCAGAACAAACTCCTATGATGTTTTCTCCGCAGAGTTCCATAATATCCCTACCAAGTGAATGTGATAAGGATTCTCATTATGAGAAATCTGACGAATTAGACTCCCTAGCTTCTGATATTCAAAGTTATGACTCTCAAATATTAGGAGACTCTATTCCAACATCCTCTCCCTCTCCATTGCAAATAAATCCTATTTCAATAAAAAGTATAAATTTAGATAAGATTTTATTCTGATATTTATGAATTAATTTTAATCCATTTCCCTTAAAAAAATAATTTTAAATATTTTGTTTTAACTGTTCAACCGGAACTCGTTAAAAAAATTTCCGATTGGAACTTATAATGTTCTCGAACCAGTTAAAATAATTGCATTTTTGATGTGCGAACTCCAGGGCTTATCGGGTAATTCCATACCAAATCAATAACTTTTCTGCCGGACCCTTTTAATTTTATAAAATTTTGCATATGAATCCTGGTCAAAAGTGCCAAAAATGACCTTTTTTAAAAAAAAATATTTAAAAAATTGAGATAATTTGAAAAAATTATGATGTAAAAAAACATATTCATTTTGTAACTAAAAGCCTTTTAGTAATTATTAAGGAATTTTGTAAAATAATAATGTTGCGGCTATTATTTACCATAAATTTTTAACCTGAAAGCTCTAGGAGTTTAGCTTTCCAAATTTTTTTTTTGATATTTTATTATCTTATATTATATCTATAAAAAAATAATTAAACTTGGGACAGCCATGGGGTTTTTTAGCTGCCATTATTTTTATTAAAATTATTATTTTAAAATGTAAATAATAAGATTTTCCAGCAATAATATCATGAAATAAAATTATATAATCATCGTTTCCTTGAAAAAATTTAAATTTTTATAAAATTATTTTATAATTTTGCAAATATAAATAGGATAATTAAAATTCATGAAAGATATTACTTATTTTCGGCTTTCAACTAATGTTTTTTTTTGACGCCTTGATAATTTCGTTTTTCAATAAATTATAAGTACTCTAATTCGTCTTTGATGGCATTGTTAAAATATTATTTCTTATTATGGGAGATCTGATATCGCTGGATAAACAAAAGATTTAGTTCGTCCCTTGGATGAAGAAAATTTATTTTCATTTCATCTCTAATTACATCCACTTTTTGCATAAATTCTAACCACCAATCGCTTTCTTACAAACAAGTCATATATCCTCTAATTTCAGGATACGATATTCTTCACAATAAACCTCTGCGAATTGGGGTATATTTTAGTATCGTGTAGATAAGAAGATTGGAAACACTGCGTGAATTTTGTGTCCCAGGTATTGAGATAGATATAATAAATTAGCCTTATTTTTTCTGCCTCATATAGTAGCATAATAAAAATGTATACCTTTTATGCGCTCTTCGGCATATTTAAAAAATTGTACAGGCATAATTATTTGATCTGAATATGGCCTTTGTAAGTTTGCCTTAGCAATTAACCTATTCTGGATTGTTAATTATTTTATCTGAAATAGTTTTTGATTTTTCGCTTCTTTTTTGGATAATTTATTTTTCTTAATGGGAGATATTCAAATTTAGTTTAAAGTAATATTGATTGTATCTATTGATGTAGATGCTAATTGTGATATTATTTATTTCTTATTTACTGTCAGAATTTATATTTTCTAGATTTTTTTGCGATAAGCTCTAGTGCTCCGCCTCAATGTTTGAAAATTGAGTTTCTTTTTTGTAATCATAGTGCTTAGATTTTTTAAAAGGATTTAATTTGAATATTTATATTTTTACATTATAAATAATTTTATGAAAGAGATATAATTATTGAAATATTTGTAAAATAAAAATTGATTAATATAGCAGGGCAGTTGCATAAAAAATGGCTTTTACTTTTCAACAATTAATTATTATATTTCTTGCAGGAGATATCGGAATTGTAACTATCTTTTTAGGAAATTTAAAAAACTAATTTTTACGATTTGAGCCGAATTTTATAAACGGCTAACACAATATTTTAGCCTGAAAAATATCGTCTAAGCCTCGAAATTCCGCTACTAGATGTCCAAACTTTGTTATTAGCAAAATCTTCAGGCTATTTAAAATAAAAATATTATAGCCGTTTTTCAAAATCGGGTCGTTTAACAACACTAGTAATAACAATAAATAAGCCTATCAGCGGCGACTTAAATGATATTTTTTCATGATATTAATGCTAGATAATCTTATTGTTTATGTTCAAAAATGGAAAAAATCACAAAAAAATAATAATTTCTACAAAAATGCTTTAATTTATATAGGAGCGTTTTTAGCTATTTTTTTAAAAATCGCAATAACTAAAAACCCCATAGCTTTCCCAAGTTTAAATTTCTCTGCAAATAGATATAATGTAAGTGGATAATAAAATATTAAATTCAAAGAAATTTCGAAAGCGAAACACAGAGCTTTCAGGTCAAAATTTATAACGTAAATAAAAACTGCAACATTATTATCTTATAAAATTCTTAATATTTAATAAAAGGCCATTAATAGAGTTACAAAATGAGATATAATTTTTATTTTTAGCATCATTATTTTTTAACTTATCTCAATTTTAAAAAATCGTATTTTTCAAAAAGGTCATTTTTGGAACTCTTAACATCTCAAGAACTATTAGTACTAAGAGGCTAAAATTTTGGATTCGATGCTTCCTAATGCCTCACAGTATGCAAAATTTTATTAAATCAAAAGGGTTAAGCCTAAAGGTTATCGATTTGGTATGGAATATCATGTTTAACCCTTAAACCATGCCTTCATCATTTTTGCTACCAAAATCGTTATACTAGGGTCTATGATAATTACAAAAGGAATGAATATCATATTACATTACAATAGTATTATAAAAGTATGATTTCATATATGGGTCATTAAACGTCATAAACGAATCTTGGCATGATAGTTATCTATTTTGTAAATTTTAGTAAATTCAAAATTTTAGAGTGCGCAACCAGATCCCAAAGATATACGCCTTCAAAGTCGAAAATCGCGCATGTTTTTAAAAAAAATACTTAAGATAGAGTTGTTTCTAAAAAAACGAACGCGTTCAACGTTCACTGACAAAAATCGAACGCGTTCACGTTCACTTTCAAAAAAATCAAAATTTTATAATAAATTTTTTTTAAAATTTAAATATAAATAAATGTCTTATATTTTTTAACACAATATATTAGCCATGTTAAAAAATAATAAAATTTTATTTTGATATTATAATTATAAATACAATATAATATAATATAGCGAATATAAAGATATTTATAAAAAAATTTCTTATTAAATTTTGATAACAATTGTTTTTCAAAATTTTCATCTGATAGCCAGGAACACTTGGGAGTTAATACGACATTAGCTGCTCAAAACGCGCTCCAAGGGCAGATGAGGGGATTGCTGTATTATACTTAATAAACAACTCTTTTAACGTGGGGAATTTATCAAAAACATTTATTGTTTTGTCTTTTGCTTCAAAAAATCGAGATAAGTTATCCTTCTCCAATCCATCGTCTACTTTCTCGTAAAAAAAAGATATCTCGATATAAACAGTTCTTGCATTCTGTGGAAGTTTTATCCATGGCCCTTGAAGCTTGAATACTGGATGTATAATTGCAGAAAGAATATTGACTTTCATATATATGTTTAAATCTTCAAAAAAAAAATATATGTAATAAATTTGATATTGATAGGTTTATTACCTTTTATTAGTTCCATTTAATACTGCGTCTATCAATGGTTGACCATATTTTAGGCCACTATTTTTTTTTAATTTTAAAATAACTATCGTTATTGTTGGGGTCAAATAGTCCAAATGCATTTTTTCTTCAAATATAATGATTCATTTTACTTAGTTATATTATATAAAATAAAATAATTAATATTACAATCAAACGTTTTAAATTGGAACTTGAAGATTTTGAAACTAATTTCGTTCACGAACTAGTTCGTTTATAACACTATAAATTATATATCATTTTATTACCTATTTTGTATATTTTAGTAAATCTAAAATTTTAGCGTGCTAGCTCGACCAGATCCAAAGATATACGCTTTCAAAGTTGAAAATCACGCAATGTGATTTCATTAAATCTTGTTTTTTAAAAAAAATACTTAAAATAGAGTTAGAAATTATATATCATCTTAATAGCCCTTAAAATTTTACATTGGAAAATATCGAAAAAAAATTAAAAAATTCCAAGTGTTTTCTTATTTCCTGATAAATTAAAAAATTAACATTGTTAGGAAGGGATTTTTTTTTGGCTGTTTATATTCTCTAATAATGTTTATGACCTTTATATTAAACTTTTTAATAAAAAATTTCATTGTTTTTTAATTTTATTTGAATTATTTTTATTTTAATAAATAAAAAAGATAATATAGATGGTTATATTTAAAAATCATTATTATATATAATGAAAATATGAATTGTATTGGGATAAAAATTGAAATCAATTGAGTATAAACAATATGATGTCCTGGGGCGATATAGCAGGCAGGCATGCAGATTTGATTATTATTAGGACGCTATATTGTAAAATAAACATATTTTAAAATTTTATATTCAAACTATTATAAAAACATATCTCTTATTTTTATCATATCCCATTTTGGGCCTATTAATAGAAATTCCTGGGGCCATAATTTGTAGATATATCCTTTCACTATTTGGATCTACTATCGTTATTTTTTTGACCAATCAATTCAGCAAAAAGCCAATACTGCTCTGACCGATCAGCTGCACAATATAAAAATAGAATTTTTTTTATAAATCTATCATAAATCATTTGGTGTAGCAGCTGAATGGCATTTTTCAGCTACATCCCATGGAAACAGTCCATGTGACGGCCTTGGCGGAACATTAAAAAGATTAGCAACAGCTCAAGCCTTCAGCGCACCAGTTCTGGACACATTTTAACACAATTGATTTAACAAAACATGCCATCAGTAAATTTTACATATTTATCCAACGAACAATACAATTTAGAAGAGATTAATCTACGAGAAAGATTCAATTTAGCTCGTTCCATTCTAACTTGGGAAATACATGCTGTATTTCTTTTGAGTTTAAGTAAACTTAAATCAAAAATATATTCATATGCAGAGGACTTTTAATTAACAATATCTCAAATGCCGATAATTTGACTTTTGCCCATATAAAGAATTCGTAACATGTGTTTATGACGATTTTTGGTGGTTAGCCACAGTACTAAAAAAGAATGAAATTACTGAGGATATATTTATATATATATTTCCTTTTTATATCCCCATGGACCATCACCATCCATCTTTTACCCCACAATTGAGGAAAAGATATGGTTGCCCTTTAATCAAATATTAACAATATTAGATCCCATATCACCTCAGGAAATAAGCACAAAATGTGATATGATTAAAACAAGCGGTATTTCTTTTATAATTGTTTGTATATAAAATTTTAAAATATAGCGTCCTAATAGCCATATCCGTATTGGCTGCTTCCTTACTTAATGCCCATCATATTAGTTATACTTAATCGATTTTTTAATTTAAATATCACTATAGTACATATTTATATTAAATATATTATTATTATATTATAAATATTGTTTAATTTAACGCCATCTATCAATACCTTTTTTTATTTATAAAATTAAAAAAACAAAAAGGCTATCTAGATTTTTTATTAAATAGTTTAATATAAAGATAATAAACATTTTTAGAGAATATCAACACCCAAAAAATATCCCTTCTTAATGTTAATTTTTTATTTTTACCGGAAATACGAATGTTTTTTAATTTTTTTCGATATTTTCCAATGTAAAAATTTAATAGCTATAAAATGATAAATTATTTGTAACTCTATCATAAGTCTATTTTAAGTATTTTTTAAAAAAAAACAAGATTTAATGAAATCACGCATTAAGCGATTTTCGACTTTGAAGAAGTATATCTTTGGATATGGTTGAGCGGCGCTCTAAAATTTGGATTTATTAACATTTACAACATAAATAACTAACATGCCAAGATTCATTCAATTTTGAGATGGTCGGCCAAATCACTATAATGAATTAATATTGTAAATAAGAATATTCACAATCCCGTAACAATCAAAATAAATTGGACGATAATGAGTTTGAAGATGCTATAAAGACTTACGCAACGGAAGGCACTCCTTACCACGCCACTAGGCCACCATCCCCATCTAAAAATGATCCTGTGGTCCTTATGAAAGAAACTCAATATTATTTCACTCAACAAAACCCTTTTGTTATTCAAAATAATTTATTGAATGATGACGAAGAATTAAAAGCATATTATGTTGAAGATACACCGGCCACTTATTCAAAAAGTTCTTCATTTGACAATATATTACCAATATCATCGAATAATTTTGTTAACGATATAAAAGATTTTCCTCGAATCGCAATTGCTAATTACCAAATTCTTGATAATTTTGATGATAACACATATTACAATATTAATAAACAAGAATATGATGACGAATTTTTTCTTGCACCTTCAATACATTCCTCAAAGCCTCACAACCAAGTTAGCTCTTCTCTGCCTAAAAATGTATTAATTGACCACATTTTTCATGATGATCATATAAATAATTCCGATCGAAAATATATATTTCAGGTAGAGAACACTCCCATGATTTTTTCTCATCATGACTCTTTAGATGCATTAAGCCCGCTAATAATTGAAGATGAGAACGATGTTGAAATAGATTCTCATAAACTTTTTGAAATAAATCAATCTTCAAATAATAAAAAAATTGAATATGATGATAAATCAATAGATATAAATTATAACATGAATTTAATTTCAGACGTAATCATTTCTTCGAATAAAAACGATTCAAATCATACATCAAGTCAAGAATCATTGACTTCTGATCCATCTCCTTTGGATAAAGCATTATTGGATCAATGTATTATTTCAGCTTTACCAAAAAATTATAATCCTTTATCTTTTAATCTTGAAACTAATTATGGATACATTGAAGATGTTGCGAATGATTATTATAATACCACAAATCTTAACATTCTTTATAAAAATTTTGATGAAAAAAGTAATTATGGAATATTTGAGAATACCAATAATGTAAATCTATTTCCTGATAAATCAAGTTCAAATTTCCACCTTTTCAACAATTCTTCAATACAGAATAAATCTCAGTATCAAAGCAATTATGTAGGAATAGAGGCAGAATCATCCGATATTTTAAATTTTTATGATTGTGACAATATATCATATACGTCTCTTCCAACCTCAAATTCAACAAATATTGATGTTACTGAATCTTCATCCCTACCTAAATTTATCACTTCATCTACAAATTCTTTAAAGTTCCGAGAAAAAAATATTGCAAATGTCCACTACAATGATTATGGTTTTAAAATTTATAATTCAGAACTTTGCCTCACTTCTCAAGAAAATTTAATCTATATAGAAAATGAAAAGTTATCACTTGTATCCGACAGTGAATATGATGCAAATATGATTACATCTTCGACTAATTCTTTCAGTTCTAGTTTCAATACCGAAAATAATTGTTCAACTCATTTGTATTCTAAAAAAAATATTTTCAGTAATCCAAAGATATTATGTAATATTTCAAAAGAAAATAATCATCATCTCAGTATTTCAGATAATAACCATCTCAACAGTGATTATGACGGCATTAAAATTTTAGAAAATAAGCATTCATTCCGAGTTATAAATGAACCTCCAGGCTTTGATAATTTAGACCATCAAAATAATTTAGATGATAATATTTGTGATACTAATTTTGACATGAAGATGTTTCCGAATTTATTGGTAAAACAACGCACTTTTACAAAAAAAATCTCACCAAAAGATTATTCACAAAATCAAATATATTTGAAAAACTTAAATATTCATGATAAATCAAAAAAAGCATCTAAAAGGGATTGCTCATCGCCATTGACAAAAATGAAATCAATCGCAAACAGTAATTTAAGAGTGTCATATGCATTAACCTTTTCCAACAAAATAAACTTAACGAGACCTAAAGGTCTTCCAAAATTAACGAAAAGAAACAATATAGAACCACCTATTACAATAAACGGTGAAAAATCTTCTAAAAATACTAAAATACCAGCATTAAAAAAGAATAATAATTCAAATAGAAAATATGAATAACGCTAAACTTCTATCATATAAAAAGTGATTGTAGTAATGTTCTGTAATTATTTAAATATGGTATTGTAATGTAATATGTAGTATTGAATTATATTTTTCATGCATTTTTAAAAATATCGACAATAAAAAAATGGCTTAAGTGATTATATTTACTTAATATATAAAATATTTAGAATGTTATATTCCACCAAATTGGTACAAGTATAATAAAGTCAACCAAAAATACTATTATTAATCAAAGTTAAAGAATTTATGGGCTTTTATTTTACTAAAATATTTATTATTTATTTTACCGTATTTTAGCAATGAATTATCAAAACAAAACAAAAATTATTTATAAATTCATTTTATGTTAAAAAATATCGTCTGCTCTAATAATGACTTTACAATTAACAAAATCTAAAAGTTCTATCAAATTAAATGAAAAATTATCAATCAATTATATTCAAAAAGTTTACGGCATCTCTGTTTCTTCCATATTATATATTCGCAAGATATTTCCTGAGAATGCATTCGAAAAAATAAAAGATAAAAGTATGGATCTGAACGTTTTAATAGCTGATGAACATGATCCGAATGCTTATTATGTTTATAAAATGATGCAAGGTTGTTATGATGCCATCAAAAAGAAATATTTAAAAAAAGTCATAATGGGTTTCTATATAGAAGAGGACATAGCAAAAAATTTTATAGAATACTATATATTCCAATTTAGTTCTAATAATAAAATGCAAGTAAAAATTAAAAAAAACAAAAATGTTGATAAACTAACTTCTTATAAATCCGATAATCCATTAAATCTTATACAATCTTTGGAGAAATTAAAAAATATTTTTATCAAATTGCCTAGAAATACCCGAGTATCTATGAGAATTTTTTATTATGAGGATATAACACCACTTGATTACCAAGCTCCTGGATTTATTTCTACGAGGGATTTCGACAAATTATGTAAATTAAATCAATTAAAAATAGGACAAATGACAACAAAATGGCATATGTTATCGTTAAATGTGTTTACAAATAGAAATCTTATGCAGGATATAGAGATTGCTTCAACGAACAAAAATATTTCGACATTCTTGGATTATGAAAGTGATCTAAATTCTCCACTTCCTCTTGCAAAGGATCAAACTTGTAGTAACTATGATGATGTTAATGTCTATAATATACAATGTCCTTGCCAAATAAAGGATATATTAGAAGGAAATATGTTAGTATGCAACATTTGCAGGAAATATCAACATGGTGCTTGCCACAAAAATTTAGATATATCGACTATTCAAAATCATACGTGCATAAAATGTAATAAAATACATGACAGAAATATGGATCAGATTTACATCATTAAATCTAACAATGTTATTAAAAATATTTGTAGATGGAGACGAATCTTAAAATATTGTTTAGACTCAAAAAATTTAAATATTTTATACTTCCAAGATTTTTTTAAACTAACGAAGTTGAAAATGAAATATTATATAAATCGGCTTTTGAGAGAAAAAATTATATTTAATCTATGTGATGGGAAATATTATGATATAAATAGGCCTTTAATTTACGAGAAATTTAATTGTTTTCATTAATATTTTTTTAATTGTATCTTTGAACGAATTTCAATAAATATTGATTTTTTTCTAATCCATATTATTATGATTATTGACTATTATAAGAATAAAGATATGAATCGGTTATTTCCTCATAATTATAAGGAGAGCCATGCAATTTGAAAATAAAAAATAGGTCTGGAATAGGCTTGAATTTTTAAAAATTGTTTTCGGGCACTGGCATAAAAATAATAGAAATTGATGTTTTTCTTCTTTTATTACCCTTGGAATTAGGACAAAAAACGCGTTTAATTTATATTTTTCAATTAAAAATTTCGAACAGTACTCGAGACAAAACAAAATAAATTTGCAGGGCTCTTATAGGGACTTGGATCATAATTGAAAATTATTTCCTAATTTCTTTAGTTTAATTTGAATTTTAAAAAAAAATCATAAATTTAAATGATTGGCCCAAAAAATATTGAATAGAAAAATTATTTTAATTTAATATTTTTATTATATAAAGAATAATTATAAGTTAAATAAAAATGAAATTTTATTTTTAATAATATATAAAAATAAGGGATTCAAACTGAACCATTAAACCCGTAAAAAAATTGTCACCGAACCTTCAAAAATGCCTCCAAACAGTATTGAACCCCTTTGATGTTTTAACTCTTTAAAGATGATTTATAATAAGTTTTTACTAAAAAATATCAATAATATTTTGATTCTATAACGCTATTTGATGGTTCCATCTACTTAATTCAGGCCCTAAAGTTTATACTTCCTCTTTATAGATATAATTTGACAGAAGAGAATCTTGAAAATTTTTAATTGTATACGGCTCAATATTATTTTTAAAGAATAGTGTTGAAATTTAAATTCTCTTAGTGTTGAAATTTAAATTCTCTTAGTGTTGAAATTTAAATTCTCTTTTTACAAAATTTTAATACGCTTGTTTGCGAAGGTCTGACCCGTTTTTTTAAAGGTTCAATCCGAACAAATATTATTTTTTACAAACAGGACCTAAACCATGAACCATTTAAAATAATTCCAATTTAAACATTGACCAGTAAAATAATTCCAATATATTAACATATATTCTATTCATCAAATACAATCATTATTTTAAATGTTATACAACAAAGGAGTTGGTTGTCAGATGATCACTTTTTTCCATCTAATCCATAGTATTATCATATTGATGTTTGACATGTATAACATATAATTTTGCCATTGGATATTATATGAAACTAAATATAAACATTATTTGATTGACATTGGATATTAAATAAAGTTATATATATAATATAAAATACACAATTACAACACACCCAACCTTCACAGACCTCTCCAAACAAAAATATTATTTCATTTAATTTCAAAGATTCGCTTCATTTTTCATCAGTTTATTTGATACCATCATCTCATAATCTTTTCAAGTGTTATCTGTTATTTGAAAATAATGTCCAATTTTTATTCTTTTACCCCCCCCCCCCTTCAGGCCATGTTCAATCCATTAAAACTAAGGGTAAATACTATTTTGAGTAAAAATAAATTTAAAGCTTTTACTTGATAATACCAATATTATTTGTTAAATATTACTGATTACTTATTCCTAATATTTAATATTAAAAAAATTCCCAGGCAATACAAAGCCATAATAAGTTTGAAAAATTCTTCCAAGCCCAATGAAAGATCATAAAATTTTGGTAGTTGGAACTGAAATAAAATATTTAAACAATCATAATGAATTTAAAAATACAATCAAAATCAGATTTTCATAGGCCTTGGTTTTTTGATCAGGCCGAGCTCAGGCCTGCAAAAAAAGTTTGTTTTAGGCCAATGTCTGACCCAAAGTTAATAATAAAAAAAATCCTAAGAGTCCAAGCTCATAATAATTTTGAAAAATTTTCCCTAAGCTCAGCCCAATATAATTAAAAAATATTTTCCAAGCCGAGCCCAAATAATTTTATAAAAAAATTTTCTCAAGCCTGGCCAACCCATAGTAATTTTCAAAATTTTTTCCCAAACCTGGAGATAAGTAAATCTCTAAAAACCATATCTATTTTTTATTTTATTTTAACCATTGTCTCTTGTTTCGCTCCTTAAATTATCGCTCTTTGTTTCGCTCCTAGAATTGTTTTGCCTTGGTTCGCTCCTTGAATTATTTTGACTTGCTTCGCTCCTTGTTTCGCTCCTAGAATTGTTTCTCCTTATTTCGTTCCTTAAATTATCGCTCCTTGAATTATTTTGATCAGTTTCGCTCCTTAAATTATTGCTCCTTATTTCGCTCCTAGAATTATTTTCTATGGTTCCCTCATTAAACATGGTCTCAATTCCCGGCAACACATTCTCTTTCAATGTCATACCAGCATATTCTTCACTCGTTATTGGTACAACCCCACCATGAAAATACTCCCCAAAAACTACCATGGACCAATTCTTTTTAATTTTTGGAAGTAATTAATAATTCCTCTATCTGCTGAAACTTATCAGCAATATAAGATTATATCCAATTACCGAAGGCTGCTTGTATCAAACAACTTGGGAACCATTCTTCCCCCTAAATTTATCATCACTCTAGGACAAGGATCATGTACTATCCCCTCTTGTAGCATATTTACGCATTCCTCCTTATTTGTTTTTTGCTGATTAAACCCCGTCCTTGTCCCTCTTAACCGTCTTGCCCCGACCCGTACTGCAGTTTTTTCAATATCATATAGTCACAAATTCTCACAATCCCGCGCCACATGCCCACCCTTTCGGCATCGAAAACATTCCATATTTTATTCCTCCAATTCCTGGACATTAACTGCCCCCACCTTTTCCATTCTCTCCCGCTCAATTATCCTCACATTTGAAGCATTCTGACTCATACCTCTCTAAGGAAAACCACTCTTGTTATTGTAGTTGTTCGCATTACATTCCTCTTTATTAGGCCCAAACCTACCACAACCCGCACATCTTAATCTCTCTTGCTTACCTGGACAATAAAGGGCTATATGTCCTAACTTCCCACAACCAAAACATTTCGCCTCACTGCAATCTCTGAGCATATGACCTTACCACAATTATAACAACTCATTACTACTCTCCCTCGAGACTCAAAATTTTTATTTCCAATCTCCTTTCCCGAGAATTCTCTCTTGGCTCTCATGGTCTCAACACTTGATTATTTTCTAAACTTTGTTTATCAGAACCATATATTACTGTTTATATCGCTATCCATCCACCCTTTAATTAACTCCTGAACCGGTAACCAAGTAACTTTACCCATCATATCCTCTCCATTATGTCCCTCAATGGTCAAAGTTTGTCCATTAATTCCTACACTGCGACTCCTCATTCTCCTGCCCCAAATAAACTACATATCCATATTAATAGTATAGCCAGCGCTCCAAAAATATCATACTGAACCTCCCAGTATTTAACAAATTGAACTTTTCATCCTGGTGTTATAAAAAATTTATGATTAATTTCAAAATAAAAATCTTGGTTATTTGTGATGTCAATAAGTAAGATATTACAAGGAGCGTAAATAATCCGATGATGCACATAAACATGCACACTTAATAGGTTAATATATGACAAAATCCTTGTAAATCTTGTAACAGACTTACGCTTAACAAAATTTGGGCAGCACTTCCGTGGAACTGGCTTTTTTACTAAAATTTTGGGTAAATTTCGTCTAACAGATTTATATATGCAAAAATTTGGGCAGCACTTCCGTGTACTAGGCTTATTTAGTAAAAAAAATGAGCGAATTTCTAATAGGTTTATATTCGTAAAATTTGGGCAGCATTTCCATGTACTAGGCTTATTTAGTAAAAATTTGAGCGAATTTTAATAGGTTTATATTCGTAAAAATTTGGGCAGCACTTCCGTGTAACAGGTTTTTTCTGGCCAAAATTTGGGCAGCACTTTCGTATAATTTGTTCTTTTGTCTTAACCCCCCAACAAATGGGTAATAAACTCTTAACTATCGCTTTCTCAATGTAACCACACAACAATTGGGTATTAAACTCTTAACTATCGCTTGCTGAATATAACCGCCCAACAAATGGGTACTAAACTCACTATCGTTTGCTCACTTAGAAGGTCGCGAGTTCTTGGCCACCATTTTCTAACCTATTACAACTCTAACTTACGACCTAATCTTTTTAATTTTAAATACTTCTTTTTTTTTACTTGATATATTTTTATTTTCTTTTTCCTTCCTTAACTAAAAATGCTAAAATTCTTTTTTCAAATTTTCTTTGAGCAGAAGGAATAATAATGATTTTTTTTTTTTTTACTTTATATAACATCGCGAAAAAAAATAAATACAAAAATAATCTACACAAAAACAGTAATAATATTATATTTCTTTCTTTTTTTTCAACAACGATAAACATATAAAAATCGATAAAATCTATTTCGTAAAAACTATTATACTATAACTAAATTATTTCGTAAAAACTATTACACTATAACTAAATATTCGCCGATCACATCAAATAGATACATAATCAAGGTGGTATTTTCTTTCATATAAAAATTTAATTTTCAAAAAATATTTTTGACATAATCATTGTGTTCTATGTATTTTTTGTGTTTTATTTATTACTAGTTGATAACCCGTCAAAAATGACGGGGATGAGAATTTTATTCGTTCTTTTACGATAATTCTTTTTACCCCTCCCCCTCCTCCTTCAGGCCAATTCCAACCCATTAAGACTAAGAGTGATGAATTGTCTTTTTTATTCAATGACTGATGAATAATATATTTTACCTTTATTTGATGATGGATGAATCAGAAATTTTCCTATTTTATGAGATGTGATTTCGAAATTTATATTTTAAATT